GTTCAGTTTTACTCTATCATGCATGCTCAGTACCTTTCAAGTACTGACGCATACTCTGCGCTACATCTTCTCGTAATGTAGGTTCAGGTCCTCAGCTTCCAAATCATGCATAGATCGGTTCCCGATGTCCAATTCAGCAGCATCAATGGTGAGTCCTCATTTCTCGAGGACGTCAGACATATTTCTTCTACTTTTAGTCTTTAGTTTCAATTTTGCTGGATTTAGCTGGGGCATGTCCCAGCACTTCTAGTAAGTTAGAGGCTTATTTCATACATATATAGTTTCAGCTTTAGTTTTGAGTTTCATCTTCAGTTGTTATTAAACTCTTCTCAGATTATTTATTTCAGATTTGGAATGGGTATTCCCCATCATTTTCTGTTACCTCATGTCTTATTCTTCCACACAGTATTTCTTTACTTCAGTTTACTTTAGTATGCTTATGATATGCCAACAGGGTTAGATTGGGGTAACTCGTGATATTAGGTCCCATGTCCACGTCCTTGGGGTAGCTTCGGGGTGTGACATCAATATTACCAGGCAAGCCTCCTTGAGGACGTGTCTTTTTAGCACTAGAAAATTGCCTAGACTGCTTCTCTAGATTTTGAGTTGCAGATGGTTATTTATAAAATCCACAACTATTTTCTCCATGTTTGCATTTGCTTTAGCCAGATCAACCATGATTTTCTTTAGCATCTCCTCAGTGCTCATGTTTCCGTGTTGGTTGTTTTTATTAGCTCACTAATCCTGTTGTTGGTAACCTTGCATATTACCTTGAGGTCTATATTGATTCTAGTCCTGTGCCTGATTTTGATTTCCAGCCCAAGCAAAATTAGGGTGGTTCCGCCAACTCGAATTATATGAACTCCCATTAGTGACTCCCTCATCGCTGTGCATTACCTACAAAGTTAACCAAATATGGGTTCGATCTACAACTATATGCAGGATGATCACCACTTCCACATATCTCACACCATGCACTACAAGAAACAGCTTTATTTAAGACCAATATTTAGGGACGAGTTAATAATCCCATCTCAGAAAGTACATATATCGGGGTGAGATTTTATTTCGGTCTTTAATTTTATATGTTATTCTGAAGGTTCTAAATCTGGTCTCTAGAAAAAGTAGTAACTCATCCCAAATTAAAACTAATTGGGTCTTAAGAAATATATTGGAAGGCGGGAACATATTTTCACCAAAAAATTAGCCGCCTAAAAAATCATCAATTCATTAAAATTCTAAAAGGAAAAGAAAACAAAGAAAAGAAGCTTAAGTTTGTTTCTCAATGAAATAAAAAAGAACCCTATAGCAGCGATCTTCCCTAGCTAACAACCAGCTTCCCTTACAACGATCTTAGTGTACGTAGCTCTCAACTAAAAATCTGTGTTTTCTTAAAACAGAGAAAGCACAGGTCTGCCTAGCAGCAAATGCAACCCAGGTCTCATTGATCAGTGTTTCATCTCTGTTTTCTCATAACAGAGAAAGTAGAGGTCTTCCTAGCAGTGATCTCCACTCAATATATGTCTTCTATTCACTCGGATCTCACGTATGCCTCCACTTCTATGAGTTGATTTATTTTTTTATGTACAGTTGCTTTGCTGTTTGTTTTGTTTGAGTTGTAACTCGTCTTGTTTGAGTTCTTGTTCTCTAAGACTAGATGTTGATCGTTTTCTTAAAAAAGATTTAGTTTCGTAGTGTGATATGATGCCAAAAGTGAAGGGGATCGATCAGTCCTTAAAGAAATATGTGTTCCTAAAGAGAAATAATAATGAACTAAACTTGAAAAGTGGCACTAACAACTCAATGAGCTAAAACAATATTAAGAGATAATATAGAGAGTGTTCTGTTCAAGTTGAGAAATCTGTTATGAATTACAAGTGAACTACTAACAGGGCAAGTGAGACAAGTAATTGCATAATGTTACAACTGAATAAGTGAAAAAAAGATAGTTTCATTTGGGTATGAAACTGATGAAATATGTAAAACACAATAGAACCGATGCAAACTGACCTCCTGTGGTGCTGCACATAGAAGATTGAATGAGTGATAGTTTTGTTTGGGTCTGAAAATTGGAAAGCTTGATAACTTTCAAGAAGATGCATTCTAATAGTTGTTTAAAACATTCTTTCGATTTTTCTAATTGGTTCTCTTATTTCTGTCTACTTGTATATCAAGGTGCGAGGAAAGATCAAAGGATGCTATTTGTATCTTGTTAGGCATTTAATCACACTAATATACTTGAAATATGGTAGCTGTCAGTTGATAAAACACTAATATTAAAAGAATTTCCTCTATTCAGTAACGAAAATAATAGATCTAATGAGTGTACCTCATCTTTGGGCAAAGTGGTAGCACCAGTTATAGCGATGTCCTGCTTCTTTCTTGTACCCTTATCAGTAGACGTGACAGAAAGAATACCATTGGCATCAATGTCGAATTTCACTTCAATCTGGGGAACACCGCTAGGAGCTGGAGGGATTCCATCCAAGCAGAACCTTCCAATAGACTTGTTATCTTGTACAAACTCTCTTTCACCTTGACGCACATTAATCTCAACACTGGTTTGCCCATCTGCTGCAGTTGAAAAAACTTCTGACTTTGAAGTTGATAGTGTTGTATTTCTTGGGATGATTTTAGTTTACAATGAAAATAGTCATATAACTAGGGGTCATCCTCATTTTGAGTTCCAGTAATTTGATATGAATCTTTCATTTGGCCTCCAACATTCTTCTTGTTAGCTGCAGAATTGATGTGTCTATGCCGAGTGGTGCAAAACTTTCAATTCATTTAAGGCATAGTGCTAAACTGATCACTTTCATCCACAAATCTAACAAATTGACATCCCCATTATGTGCCATATTTCTCTATCTATTACAGCCTTAACTCCATTGATTGAGGCATAGTTGGCCCTGAATGTCTTCTGAAACATGTAATCTGTGAAATTAGCTGCCAAGTCACCTACAAAAAATAGTACATTTAGTAGTATCATCTGAATGTTTTTCACCCGAATCATCAAGTCCTGCCCAGCTGAGCCTAAATTTTTTCTTAATATTAGGCATCAAGGTACCATTCTATACTTGTATTTATGCAACTGCATACCTAATAAATCGATATATAGTGAGGGAAAATGTAGTGTTCTGGAGTTTGGACTTATAGCCAATGTAGCATATAGTTGCAAGGGAAAAAGGACAAATATACCCCCGAACTATCGTAAATGGTACGTAGATACCCTCTGTCATACTTTTGGGACATTGGTGTCCCTGCCGCCCAAAACTAGAGAGTATATATGCCCTTCATTCTAACGAAAGACTATATAGGGTCACGTGGCACAATCTTAGTCCGTCGATCTGATATTTAAGAAATGTCTGATCAGTGGATAGGGATTTGTGACACGTGTATTTCCGTTATTATAAAGGGTATATATGCTCTAGTTTTTGGACGGTCAGGGGGCACCAATGTCCCAAAAGTATAACGGAGGGTATCTGCATACCATTTACAATAGTTCAGGGGTATATTTGTCCTTTTTCCCTAGTTGCAATTACTAGTTTTCTTGGTTTTTTTCTTTATGTATTTGTTTGAGGATGCGACTAAGTCACTCTTAACTTTATGAGAAGTTAGTTATGAGCCAAGACTTTTTAATCACAAGCGACTACAAACAAGAATTTTTTTTAATAACAAACGACTATTTTGTATAAGTACAAAGCTATAGAAGATTACATGTTTTAAGATGAGTCATCTTTTATGTTTCTTAGTGCAATATGATTATTATTTTTTGTTAAAAATTGCATTTCATTCATTTTTGGAATCCAAAAAGTCACGGGTGATAGTGAGTTGTACAATAAGCCTCCCTATCAGATAATTATATACTCCATCTTATCTTATCTTAAGATGAGTTAAATGAAACACCATGAATAATGTCTTTAGACAGATAGTATAACTTTTAACTAGTGGTGTATCAATCATAACACACATTTCTGTTTTGTGCATCTAATTATAACAAGTTGTATTGATCTTAGTATTTTTCTTATCCTTTATCTTTTTTAATCTAGCTTTTTATGTACTATTCAAGGTTATGGCTCCTAATAAGCAATGGATGCAACTAGTGGACCATCGGCTCGATGAAACCTATTTAATAGGCGTGCAAAAAAATTTGGATTATGCTTTTGAAAGAACAGGAGAAAAATATGAAATACGATGTCCATGTGTCAAATGTTACAATACAACTTTAGGAACTCGAAATATGGTTGAGACACATTTGCAAGTATATGGAATAATTAAGAATTATACTTTTTGGTATCACTATGGAGAACGTTTGGGTGAGCCATTGTAAGAATCTGAATCCGAATTTGAATTTCCATTTGGAGATGGTGTTGAAGTAGAAGAATGTGAGAGTGAGGATGAAGTAGAAGAACTGTTGAGAGATTTATATCCTAATCTTGATAGAGGAACTACACACGCTGATGGTGATGATTTACTTGAGGAGGAACCAAATGTTGAAGCAAAAAGATTTTAAAGCCTATTGAAGGATTTCGAGCAGCCACTATATCAAAATTCCAAAGCTTCAAAGCTTTCCTCTTTGATTAAATTGCTTCACATCAAAAGCATGGGTCGTTGGAGTAATGCTTCATTTACAATGTTATTGAAAATGTTGAAAGAGGAGTTGTTGCCTGATGGCGCTACTTTTCCAAACTCATATTATGAGGCAAAGAAGATAATCAAAAGAACTCGGCCTTTCTTATAACAAGATTGATGCTTGTACTAATGATTGCATGTTATACTGGAAGGAGGATAGCCAACTCGATTCTTGCAAAGTTTGTGGGGCGTCTAGATGGAAGATAGATACACATAGCGGGGAAACAAGGAATGAAAAAGGAAAAAGGATAGCACCAAAGAGCTTACGCTATTTTCCTTTAAATCCTAGACTTCAAAAGTTGTTTATGTCTACAAAGACATCTACTCTTATGACATGGCATAAGGATAAAAGAGTTGATGTTGGAATAATGAGGCACCCAGCTGATTCAATGTCATGGAAGTCATTTGATGAACTTCATCCTTCATTTGCAGTTGAGCCTCGTAATGTTCGACTTGGACTTGCTAGTGATGGATTTCAGCCATTCCGAAATTCAAAAACCTCACATAGCATTTGGCATGTGGTTCTTATTCCTTATAATTTACCACCTTGGTTGTGCATGAAACAAGAAAGTTTTATTTTGTCAATGCTTATTCCTGGTCCAAATGGCCCAGGAGATGCAATTGATACATATCTTCAGCCTTTATTAGAGGAATTGAAGGAATTGTGGGAGGTTGGTATTGAGACCTATGATGCGTCAGCTAAAACGAATTTTAAGTTGCATGCTTCTTTGTTGTGGACCATCAATGACTTTCCAGCATATGAAAATTTATCTAGATGGAGTACAAAAGGAATATTGGCATGTCCATATTGCAATAAAGACACTTCATCAACTCGATTGTCTAATGGTAAGAAGCAGTGTTATATGGGTCATCGACGCTACCTTCCTCATAATCACAAATGGAGGAATGAGAAGAAGTCATTTGATGGTACAGAGGAGAGAAGACCCCCGCCACAAATGTGTTCTGGTATTGAGATACTTAATCAAGTGCAGGATCTTGAAGGGCTACAATTATCAAAGGATCCGAAGAAAAGGAAGAAGATATCACATGAAAATCGAAAGGATAATTGGAACAAAAAAAGTATCTTTTTTGAACTTCCATATTGGAAGAGTCTCTTGTTGCGAAATAATTTGGATGTAATGCATATTGAAACAAATATATGTGATAATATTATGGGGACAATCATGAATGTCAAAGGAAAGACCAAGGACACAATTAAAACTCGGTTAGATTTGCAAGAAATGAACTTTAGGCTAGAATTGCACCCTATCCAAAAAGGGGAGAAAATTGAAGTTGCAACTGCATGCTACACATTGTCTCCCGAAGATAAGCACAAGTTATGCCTTTTCCTAAAGAATCTAAAGGTTCCTGATGGATTTTCATCTAATATTTCTCAATGTGTGAACCTGAAAGATCACAAGATATCTGGGTTGAAAAGTCATGATTGTCATGTTCCTCTGCAACATCTACTCCCTCTTGCACTTCGTGGTATATTGTCACAAGAAGTGTGTGAACCTCTTATTGAGTTATCTTTGTTTTTTTGTATTCTTGGATCAAAGGAGTTGAGAATTGATAACTTGGAACATATTGAAGCTCAAATTCCCATTACACTTTGCAAGTTAGAAAAGATCTTTCCTCCTTCATTTTTCGATGTCATTGGTTCACTTACCTATTCATTTAGCTACTGAAGCTAAGATTGCTAGACCGATTCATTATCGGTTGATGTATCCTGTGGAACGATAGTTATATTTTCTAAAAAAACTCATCGATAATAGGGCATGTCCTGAAGGTTGTATTGCAGAGGGCTACATTGAAAATGAATGTATGACCTTATGTTCAAGGTATCTACATAGAATTGACACAAAATTTAATCAGCCTGAAAGAAATTATGATGGGGTTTAAAGCAATCTAATGGAGGTTTATCACTATTCTGTCAACCCGAAAAAACTCTGGGAGCTAAAACTCCATTTGAGCTTGAAGAAAATGAATTAGAACAAGCACAAATATACATATTGAAGAATTGTGATGAAGTTTTACCATATCTCGAGTATGGAGAGTTATTTCATATCTTCTCATTAGTATTTTCGTAGGATTATTTATTTTTTATATGAAATTTATGGCTCACTTCAATTTTGTAGAGAGTTTGCACAAACTCATGAAAATGCTCGCCACCTGTCTGATATAGAATGGAATCGACAATTTATTGAATGGTTTAAAGATAGGGTGAGTAATACATAAACATAAAAGTTGATATTTTAATATTGTAATACTCATTATAAGGTAATCATCCTAATCTTGATGATAGGTTGCACAATTGCATAAAGGAGATTGTAGTCGTATCATGGAAGATCTGCTCTCACTTTCACGCGGTCCTACACGATATTCGACGCATTCTAATGGTTACATTGTTAATGGATATAGATTTCATGTAGAAGATTATGATAAAAAGTTAAGGACTCAAAATTGTGGTGTCGTTGTATTGGGTGAGAATGATAAAGATAGTGAGAACCTTGATTAGTATGGAGTTTTAACAAATGTGATTGAGTTGCAATTCGTCATGGATAGAGGAGTGGTTTTATTTCGTTGTAATTGGTTTGATGTGTGTGATGAAATAAAAGGAGTTAAGAAAGATGAGTATAATTTCGTGAGTGTTAATCTCAATAGATTCTTGAAAACAAATGAGCCATTTGTTTTAGCGGACCAAGCATCTCAAGTGTTTTATGCTAATGATAATTCCCACAAAGGTTGGCAAGTAGTGAGGAAGACTCAACCTCGTGATTCCTATGAGATTGTGGAACAAATGGATGATGATATTATAGAGTTAGGAAGTCCTTCACAAAAGAAACGTAAAAGAACTAATGAGCTGAAGTATATTTTTATGAATTAATATATTCACTGTTACACTGTACGATGACATGATTTCTTTTATTCCTATATTGTCTTAAATTTTTTCTTATTACTTTTTATATTTGGCTCATTTTGCAGGTTCAAGATGAAACCATTGAAGACTGAAAATGAGGTTGACTCATCTATGAAGAGTACTATTAGATATACATTTGTCGTGCCTGGTGCTATTGGAAAGGGACGAGGACGAGGGCTTAAATCTTTGGCTGAGAGAAGAGACTTGTCAACTAAGAGTTTTGTGTCTCAATCTAGTGATCTGGTTAATGAGTACATGCAAGAAATTGAAACAAGTAAGATATTTTAAATAAACTGTTCAAAATTGATATTAATAGCTCATATTATGTAGCCGTTGTTATTTCTTACAGTTTCTCACTCTCAAAAGGAATATTCTAAAGTATTAATAATATTATTTGTTTTCTCCATGTTATGTAGGGAAGGGTCGAGGGCAAAGACTTACAAACTCTACTGTGTTAACTAGTCAAGGAATGACAATGATACCTAAGAACTTCATTGATCTTGAGAAAGAGAACAAGCAAATTAACCGTTCAGCTCATGCATCGCCTAATCTAGGTAAGCAATACACCCAAGAATTCGAGACAAGTAAGATTTTTCAAAATCTGCTATGTTTTCAAATAAAATCTCCAAGTATCTTGTGTGTACATTCCATTTGTATTTGCTTGGAAACTGTTCTTGGTCTTGGGACTCGTTGAAATGTATCATACTTTTATCACTTTTCTTCCCTCAAGCGAGTCGATAGTGAAAAGTGAGGCCTTGTTATATTTTTTATATAATGCTCTATTTTTTTTCTGTCTCAAAATCTAATCTTCTCTTTGAGCCGTTGTTATTTCTTACAGCTTCTCGCTCTCAAAAGAAATATTCTAAAAGTATTAATTATATGATTTGTTTTCTCCATGTTATGTAGGGAAGGGTCGAGGACAAGGACTTACGAACTCTACTTTGTTTACTAGTCAAGGAATGATAACGATATCTAAGAACTCCATCGATCTTGAGAAAGAGAACAAGCAAATTAACCCTTCAGCTCATGCATCGACTAATCTAGGTAAGCAATACACCCAAGAAGTCGAGACAAGTAAGATTTTTGAAAATCTGCTATGTTTTCAAATAAAATTTCCAAGTATCTTGTGTGTACATTCCATCTGTATTTGCTTGCAAGTTGTTCTTGGTCTTGGGACTCGTTGAAATATATCACACTTTTATCACTTTTCTGCCCTCAAGCGAGTCGATAAGAAAAGTGAGCCGTTGTTATTTTTTTATATATAATGCTCTGTTTTTTTTTGTCTCAAAATCTAATCTTCTCTTTGAGCCGTTGTTATTTCTTACAGCTTCTCGCTCTCAAAAGAAATATTCAAAAGTATTAATTATATGATTTGTTTTCTCCATGTTATGTAGGGAAGGGTCAAGGACAAGGACTTACAAACTCTACTTTGTTTACTAGTCAAGGAATGATAACGATACCTAAGAACTCCATTGATCTTGAGAAAGAGAACAAGCAAATTAACCCTTCAGCTCATGCATCGACTAATCTAGGTAAGCAATACACCCAAGAAGTCGAGACAAGTAAGATTTTTGAAAATCTGCTATGTTCTCAAATAAAAGTTCCAAGTTTGTCTGTAATACCTTTGAACTATTTTCAGTTCCTTACTTTCCAGATGTAGCACATTGTAGCTTCCCAAAGAGCAACCACAACTTCGATCAGTCTTAAACTTCTTCTAGTTAAAGAAGAGGATGAAATATGCTTGATATGCTGAAACATGTATTCTTATTTTCGCACCTCCAGCTTATGTGCACAATAAAATTAGTAGTAACACTATCTTACTTTTATAAATGTCACAGATTTTTCCTATTTCATGGCTGCATCCATTTTTTTTCTCTACTTTGTATTCCTATGTCATGGATGAAACACTATGCTAAAGTATTGGTAATATGATGTGATTTCTCCAGGTTCTATAGGGAAGGGGCGCGGACAAGGACTTAAAAGCTCTACTTTGTGTACTAGTCAAGGAATGGGAATGAAATATAACAACTATATGACTTCTGAATCTGAGGTGGGATGTATCAACAAGAGTGCTCTTTATGCTAATCAGCATATTAAAACTCCTTCTATAAGCACAAGAGCAAATTCGACCATGTCGTCTAGTCAAGAAATGCAAAGAAGGGAGAAACCGATTCTTGAGAAAGAGGATATGCAAACTAATCTTTCATTGCCTCCATCTATTGATCAAGTTATGGAACATTCTCAAACAACTGAAAAAGGTATGATATTTTCAAGCCATATCTTATTAATTTGTAAACCTAAATTTGATTGCTATAGTTTTTGCTAAATTATGCATCGTAGGTTCATCTAATCCTATAAAGGTAAGAAGAGTTAGAGGGAGCAACATGTGCAAAGAAGTTGCTTCACTTGAAAATGGAGAAAAGCTTAAAGTAACATTTTACAATAATCGAACTGTTGGAACAAATAGTAAATTGTTTTCGAGGCATTTAGGAAAAATTGTTTGTGACCGTAATATATGTTCGTTGGGAGTAACCTCTTGGAGTGATATTAAGCAAGACAAGTTAAATCACATGTGGGCAGCTGTTGAGGTAACAAATTTAAACTTCATTCAAATCTTTCAGTAACATAAGTTTCACACCATTCTCATGTGTTGCTGAAATCTTATTTACTCGAGATATCGAATAGAAAAGTGCCATGGTATCTCTATCTAATAATATTTTCAAGGTGACAAGGATCTGCCTGTAATATTGATCCAACAAATGTGTTATTGTTCTACGAGCGCTTCAGTCCCAGAAACGAGAAGCAAGACTTCAGTAACAGCGGGAAAAAACTTTGTTTTCCAATTTCCCCTGTTTTGTTTTTTTTCTTTTTTGCAATATAATCTTTGATTTGATTTTTTCTTTCAGTTTTGTAATTCTTTTTCTCTGCTTTGTACTGCTTTCTCTGTTATGCTCAGTAATATTACATCCATTTTCACAAAAGCAACAGTAACATTACATTCATAACAGTAACATTACATTACTCTCTTAGGCAATATCAGTACAACAGACCACTAAGAGTGTACTCTAATTAGGAGTGAGTTTACATGTTGTACTCAACCTGCATAAGACAGGTTTTTAGAATCCCATGTGTTCACTCTACTACTCATCTTGTTAATCAAATCTTCACAATCAATTGAAGAGAGCCTCTTTGCTGATATAAGGATACCCAAGTATTTAAACTGTAGTTTCCCTTGCTCATACCCTGTTAGTTCACTTTATTTATTGCTTAAAAGTTGAATGAGGAGTGTTCTAAAAAGCAACACAAGTAATCCTTAATCTTACACAATTAACATCCTAAATGAATGAGGATAGTAAAAGAACTACATCTAACGAAAATTCCTAGTCTTTTTATCTTATTTACTATAGAATCGCTGCTTATTCTACTAGAAGCACATATCTTTTTCATTTTGTTGTCCTTTCTTAATTCTTCTCCCGTGGTAATAACTCAACTCATGTCCTGATATTTGTAGCACAAATTTGAGGTTGTTGACATGAATGATCGTATCTTGGGATGGATGAATGAGTTATGGAACAAATGGAGAGGACACTTGCATGCAAAATATGTGAAGGATAAGCCCATTCAACAATCTCTCAAGAATATCCCAAGGGGAGTAGACAAAAAAGAATGGGAATGGTTAGTAAAGGAACATTTTACTTCTGAAAGTTTTCAGGTATGTATATTGGTTAAGTCTATTACTAGGAAATAACCTAGAAGTTTGTTAAGGCATGAAATGCCTTAATGTTTTAATAATTTTGTTATAATTATTCTAATTAAGCTTATTGTTTCACAAATACAGGCAAGAAGCATCAGGAATGCAACAAACCGATCTAAGTTAAAAATGTTTCATCATATTGGTAGCCAACCTATTCGAGAGATTATTTATCAAAAGGTATTGTTAAAAAACTATTTTCCTTGATGGAGTATTTACGAGGTTTGTGTCGTTATTTGACATGTTTGACTTTGATGTAAAGGGTGGGAAAGATGACAATCCACCAGATTTGGCGACTATTTTCTTTGAGACTCGTAAGAAAGATAACAAGCTTGTTGAACCTGAAGCAATTGAAAAACATGTACGTTTGGTGAATTGAATAATTTAACGGCTTGGAATTGTTATGTGTTTTGATAGAAAATGTCCTTTTATATATTTTGTAGGCTCAACTTGAGGAAATGGTTCAAGAAGATCCATCTCTATCTAGTATAGAGATTGTTGAAAAACGTTGTGGACCACAAACTCGTAGCCATGTATTTGGATATGGGGGTGGAGTAAAGGCGAAAGATTTGAAAGGTGGAACTTCTTCAAAGGCTGAACTATTGTCCGCTCTACGTTCAACTCGAGATGATAACAAATTCTTGAATGAAGAAAACAAATCCTTGAATGCGGAAAACAAATCCTTGAATGATCGCTTGTCTACCTTAGAAGATGAGATGAAAGAAATAATAAAAATGAAAGAATTATTTCCTGCTCAACAATCACATGTCCCACCTACAATATTGCCTGCTTCAATTGAATGACAAATGTTCTGCTGACCAAGTAAGTAACAATATACCCAACTTTA